AGATAAATAAAGAGAAATATAGAAACATGATAATTGGGACACACTTTATAAGATGTGTGATAATGATTATTAAGAGTATGATTCTGTGAGGTTGTATCTTTGGCAACAATTCATTTCCTAACTGACAAATTTATCTTATACCAAATACAAAGTGCTTAGGTACTTCAGGGACACTTTTCGTTTAAACTTAATATGAAAATATTTAATGAATTTGATTCGCAAACATCAGTGTCTTATGTGTTTAATAATGCTGTAGCGAAGGCTTTTAATGACTAATTGTACGTTTCGGTGCGCCTGGCTATCGTCGCATAATTAATTGTTAACCTAAGTGAATAATTTGTTGTTTCTGTAACTAAAGGTGGGCATGTTTTTGTTGAAGTAGACCATTCTGGGCATTTACTGTTACTATTGTTGTATTTTACGCCTATCTTTCAGGGATACTTACCCAGCTTCTATAATAAGTAAATTGAAGCCCACCTTGTTAGTACGCGGGCTACTTCATATACTGTAATTATTCTATTAATGACACATATTTGTACTCAAAACTGGTGTATCAGTTCACCTAGTACGATGACTATTGTTCGGAAAATTGATGCCTTTTTCATATTGTAAATATATCAAATTGATGCGTTTTTTAAAATGGAAATAAATAAAATCGTTATGATTATGTTAAATTGTCATTTTCAGTTGATTGTATCAGAAAAAGGTATAAGTTTGAAGTTGTCACCTTTGTGAAGTAAAATTGGTGATTTTAAAAACATATTTATTGCACATTCCAATTCTCATTGCAACACACATGTGTAAATCAATGTCATTAACAGTATCATTCAATATGTTTTAGAATAAAAAAATGAATGTACTGTAATTAAAATTGTTGTTGATTAGATGCAATAGAAAACACGTTTCGATTTTCCATTTAAAATTAAATAAATCATGCAATATTCTGGACTTGCAACTTATAGGACTTTTAGTGTCTTGCTTATATTTTCATCAATGGTAAATAATCGACAGCATCAATGTCGACAAACTCATTGAAAATGATATAACTTAATTATCTTAGTAAACGTACTACTTACTTCTTGAAGATGATATGTCAGTGTTACTACTGATAAGTAAAGTTTATAATTATTTCAACTAAAAGTAGTAATAGATATGCTCGAAATGAGGTTGAAAACACATTTAAGCTAACCAATGTAAACATGATCTTCATTTCAAATGGTGCATAAATGATTAAAATGTTGAGGACAATGATTATTTTATTATCTAGTTCATTTATATATGCTGTAACAGTTTATGAGAACAACATTCAAAACAGTCAATAGACAATACAGTGACCATATTGCATTTTTCAAGACAGCTGATTCATATTTAAAATTAAAATAAAATTTAAATATTAGACTTAAGTAAAGAAAACCATTGATTTTTTCAACTTATTGCAGATCATAAAGGACGACTTCTTAAAATAACAATATCATATTTTGGCTATTAAATCTTGAAAGAAAAGATTGATTGTGTCTAACATGTAAAAACGGAAACGTGAAAATTGAGTACAGTTTTTAGCACTACTTTTTGAAGAATGGGTAGAGCTATATTGTACTCACCCAGGCGTCGGCTTTGCCGTCACACCTTTGTAAAGTGAATGCGTGCAAGTTGGTATCTTCAAAACTACTGAAGGGAATAGGTTAATACTGTTTGAGAAATATGTCAGAAAGTAAAAAAAAATAGATGATAGTGTGTTGCTAAATTTTAGAAGAATTACGTTTACATCACTAAAACACTACACATGTTTGTATGAATATACTAATGTCAAGTATTTCATAAAAAAATGCTTGCATTCAAAAAGAAGATGTCAGCAAATATGTCTGATTGCTTTGCTTTTAGGGTCCTTTGAATGTTCGTAGTACCACAATCTACAGCCTTTTGTAAGGCTAAAAGCAACGGTATATTTGTGTATTCATCGGTTTCCATTTCTTCTGTGTAATTCCTAATTGGAAACACTTTGTCCAGACTAACTTCAAACACAGACGCCGCTTTCTCTACTAGTTTTTTTACGTTTTTGCTATGGAATATCTTCGTTATATCTTCTCTTGTCACTTCACAAATTCCATCTATCTGTGTAACAAGCACTATCCTTTCTTGCGCTGAAATGTCAAAATTGTGTTTACTTTATCATACTTTTAAACAGTTATTAACTAGTTGCTTCAGTTATACTCATATTTACAATACATGTATATCTATCAACTTTTAATTTTCATCCCTCCGACAATGGTCAGTAACTAACAAAATGCTGTCATGTGAGCTTATCTTCTAACAATGTGGATCGATAAATGATCCTTTACTATTCAAATGTTAAAGTTTTGAAACCTTGTGATTGTTTATTTCAATGCTTTCATTAGTCGCTATTTTTCATTCTCATTGTTGAGATATTTTTAAAATCTTAAATTAGAGAATGAGAAATGTATATGTATATTTTACATCAAAAAATGTTCGAGTCAAAAAGTTAAAGATATCAATAAAGAAAAGTATGTTAAACAATGTCTCAATATATATGCATTCTTTGATAAGCTTAATGTCTACTAAAAAGAAGGAAATGAAATAGATACCGACCAGATATATTTAACTTTCTCTCCATATCTTGCATTTTCTTCTTGAGTGGTGTGAATTCTTCCATTAAATTTTTCGCTTCAACACAATACATTAGACAATGCATTCTCTGTCCTTTTACAATATACCGATCATTTTCATTTTCTGCGCATTGATTGAACTAAAACAGAACAAAAATAAAACTTAGATTTAAAATGCAATTTACATGTACATATGGAAATCCTTATTTATCAATGACATTTAAGATTTAATTGCAATTTTCTGTTTCTGTCTTCAACAGAAGATATGCCAACTTCTGCATTTCTTTTTAAAACTTGCATGACAAAAATATAAATTTCAGGATTCCGAATTCATAGCTGTGACAGATGCGTTGATTTCTGTACTGAAATTTTTTGTAATCTGAAAGCAGACAATTATCCTCCTGGTATAGTAGGGTAAGAACTCTACATTTTAAATGACTGTTAAACTTATACTTTACCAATGATATTGGAGAATCATACAAAAATAAACGTCACATTAGGACTATTTGACAACGCGATTATGACGAAGTATGTTATATATATATATATTTCACTATTACCAGATGACTTTCTTCTACATCTCCATTAATCCAACTAGTGATGTCATTACAGCATATATCTGGGCTCTGAGTGAGTTTAAGTCCCATGGTGTTATAGAAGACAATGGTTTCTAGCCCTTTCTCCAGTCTGTATGACGTATACTGGAAACAAACATTCATACATATAATTATCATTTATCATTTCCAATTATTTGTTTTAACATTTTTGCATACTTTGTTGCATCGAAAGGATTAAGTGTTTTATCGTTGTTTTCTGGAAGATACAGTTTTGTTTAAAGAGAAAATATGTATACATGTATATAAAAACAAAATTACAGATAGTTTAACGTGTAAATAATTGTGAATAAAATGTATGCATAAAGAGTACTTAATCATAATGTGTTTGCTTTACATGTTTTTTCGTGAATAAAAAAAGTAAGGTTATTAAAAAGGGTACGTACTGTTTTACACAATGGTATTATCTTATCTCCCGCCAAATTTGGTATTCTTTTGTTAAGTTTGCTGGAAGAAAAGTTAATGGCCGACGATGTTTTGCTTTGAATATACTCAACCATCATGATATTTACTGTGTCGGAATACATTCTATCTATAGCCAATGTATCCTCTGCTCTTCTTTTGATTTCTTGTAATAGTTTTTCATCGTACTGCAATACGTAAGATTGAAATGAAATAATTTTAGTCTGGTTTACATTTCTTTAACACATAAGAGTATTCTTCACGGGCTAACTGGTATGAGATTTTGAAAGTACATTGTTTTCATTTTTTATTTTAACTTTTGATAATTTCATTTTTATTTTCGTATTTTAACTAAACTGTTTTTCATGCATTCATTTGCGACAAAGAATAATGATACATATCTGACATTGAAATGCATTTATTATATAATCTGTCGGTTCCAATACAAGTATTTGCAATCTCGAAACAATCAAGATGCTTTTTATAAAAGAAAACATAAAATGCGAGTGCGTAAATGTTAGGTCTAACCTTTCCAGAGCCGTCCATCACACATCCAACATTACATTGCATATTAACATATCAAAATGATACATTTCTATTGTTTTTATAAATATTTAAAATACTAACGTATCTTCCTCTCATTATTTTCATTTAATTATTCATTACAAAAATAACTAAATTGAATAGAAAATAACAATTCATGTTGTGTTGTCATATCTCGTGCTCCTCCATCCAGAGTTAACAGATCACATGGCCTTTATTGCTATAAACTAAAACGTACGCCAATACAGACATCACAATTTCAAATGATCTACTTAACTATGATTACTTTTTCAAAACACACTTGAAAACGGAGGTTAACAATATTCTGCTCATTTACTGAAGTATTTCGAATCAACTTGTTTTGGTTGCTGTAATGAAAATAAAAGAAAAAGAAAAAAGAATTACAACATTGCACCAGTTTCCAATGCAACTCAATAAAATATCCGATCATTTAAATATGTATCTAAACTATAATTACCTCTTTGTCCCAGCCCGTCCTTAGGTCCTTGTAATCCCTCCATGGATCATCATAAAGCATTTCACACATCTTCACCTTATGTAGAATGTGCTTAGTGCCACAATCTACAGCCTTTTGCAGGGCTAAAAGTAACGGAATGTTTTTGTATTCATCCACTTCCATTTCGTCAGAGTAGTTCTTGATTGGAAAAACATTGTCAACACTGACTTCAAACATCGATGCCGCTATCTTGACCACTTCCTCTATACCGCTGCTATGATATATCTTTCTTATATCTTCCTTTGTTTCTTCACAAATTTCATCTATCTTCGTAACAAGCACAACACTTTCTTGTGCTGAAGTGTTCACACTTATTACTTTTAACACAAATATTATCATTCTGTAAAACAATTATGATCTAGTTGTTTCAATTGTGACCATTAATATGTATCATATGATGGTTGAAAAAGGAAATCGGCTGTCGCCTCTCACCTATTAATCAAGATAGCTCCAATATGTCCGTAGATGGTCAGTTGAAAACCAAAAATATTTAACTATGCACTCGACAGCCCCGTATGTTTTGTCGGTAAATAGTGTGGATCGAGTCAACATTTTAAATGTAAACAAAAGAGTGTGAAACAAAACTGTTTTAAAAATCCATCTAACGGTTAAAGAGTTCACATTTTTAACAGCTAATGCCTGCTTGATTAAAGATATTAACAAAATACTTACCGAATAATTTTAATTCTGCCTTTACCTCCTGAACTTTTCTACATAAACTTTTTGCCCATAGTACCATAAGAGCGTCAACACAATACACAACACAATCTATTTCCCTCCCTTTAAACCTACACCATTCTCTTTCTTTTTTTCGCAGTGCATTAAACTAAAACAAATGGTAAACAAAACAATTTTGTTGTCTTTGTACCATCCAAAAGGGTTTGGAATCTCATCGATGCTGAATAGCGTAACTATGTATATTGCATTTTTTATTAATTTTTATTTAATATAAATAGATATTAACCGACGAAGGAAATGATCATTTTGTTTTAGTACTTGGTTTACTACGTACAGTACAAATATATTCGTACAGTCGTATTAATGAAAAACTTACTCCCTATCTTATGAGGATGACTGTCAAAGATGGACTATCAATATTCGATAAATTTGTGAAAAATCAAGAGTTTACTACTAACATGATAACCATCTTCTACATCTCCTTTAATGCAACTCTTGATGTCATCAATTAATATACCTTGTCCGGGAGCATAGTCAAATCCCATGGTGTCATAGAGAATAATTCTGTCTAGTTCACGATCCAATTTGTATGACATATACTGAAAACAATTTATGTATTCATACATAAAGACAATGATATTTATAAATACGCCTGGCCCAGTATTTTAAAACATGACATCTTTTTTAAAAATGAAATATAGAATATTGAGATTTGATCTTTTATTCCATATTTGGCGGTTTTATTGTCATATTCGTTTTATATAACAGGGAATATGTGAATTCCTGGGACAAAATTTTGTTGCTGTAAAATTGTTCTTTTTTCATTTTGCTACCAGTGGAAGAAAGCCATCACTGTTATACTCGTAAATATCTTGTGGATTTTGTTCAGTTACGCATTTTTTCATTATATGCTTTTTAATGCAGAATAAAATCATTTAATATTGAATGAAAGTTCTGAAAAGCTTGAAAATCAAGTCGTTCACATGTATGATCAAACATTATGAGTAGATAATAAGGTTAAGTTTTTGAAAACAATATAATTGCTTGGCTCGTTTGATTTTACGACGATTTTAACATATTTGTTGGACATATCTCGGCGGCCGATCCATTTGATCGCCTGTGCCTTTGCTGTCTTATCAACCGTTTACTTACAATTTTCCAAGTGACAGACTACTAACCAGACATGATTTCTGAATAAGCAATGAGAGACACATGACCTTAGATTCAATTGTCACGGTAAATTAAGGGATCGCCGAAAGCGATGTTGTATACGAAACACATTGCTTACATGATAATCAGCATTTTTTCGTGGGCCTTTATTGCTACATATAGATCAATTATATTATGATGTAATCTGAAATAGAAAATACATACCTTTTGAGTAAAGGGCGGATCAATCTCTCCCGATTTTGCACGTTTACAAATCCTCCCGTGAACAGTGTTAAAAATTGAGTTGATGGTCGACGATTTTCCGCTATTAACATAGCCAAGCATCAAGATATTAACCGTGTCGGAATCAACACTATCTGAACTTTGTGCCTTTTCCGCAGTGTATTTGATATTTTGTAAGATTTCCTTAAAATACTACAAAACATTTTTCAGTAGGTTTTATGTTAGTGTAGACAAAAAACAGAATCAAAAACAAACTTAATTTATATTTCAAATGTGTTATTAGTTGAGCTTCTTAGTACATGTAATGTATTTTTAAAACTTTCTGTAGTATTAGATTTTTCAATTTTTGCAAAATGCACCGAAACACAAAATCAAGGTTTTGAAGTTTTATTTGACATTACATTTTATATAGTTACCTCATTTCTCCACCCTTCTCTTAAGTCTTTATGATCTCTCCATGGTTCAGGGTCATCCTTTGGGGCTTTTGGTTTTTTAAACATCTTTCCCCACGGCTAACCTGAAAATAAAAAAGGTAAATTATTCGCTTGGTTCTTGCGTTTGTTCTAATACTTTTAGTCTAAACGCTTTATGTGAATGACTCTAAAGTGAAATATTTGTTGTAGTGAAATTATCAGGCTTTACAAATATGTGAGATCTTTTTCTATGATTATATATCAGGTGTGAATTGCCAGATATAATACTTCGAGACTGAATTTTGCTTGCACTCATTATTAGATTTGCCGAATAAAACATTTTTGTTCAAGTAAAAAAAAAATAAAACATTATGAAAATGTCAAACGATTCTGGCTATGCTTCGTTTCTTAGTAATAAAAGGTGCCCGTAAGAGAGTCAAAATGAGCTATTAATTTCATACTATGGGACAACCATATTTTATTTTTAAATAAATTCCAGTGTAATTTGTTCCATATAAATTTTGTCTGATATAAAAGAAAATCCGTATACCAATGTGATGTGTCCTTTACGGACACTGATTGCATTTTGTTTCATATATTAGAATTTATGCAGAACCTCAGAGCATCAGAATTTATTTTTGAAATATATTTGTTTTGAATCAAAATGACAGACCATAGTTGACGCACATAAAAATGCCATCATTTTATTTCAGTATCGCACTTACCATAGGATCGTTTTCATTAAACTTAGTAAAAATGTAATACTTTTTACCTAAGGTACATGATTCAGAAAAAAAACTTGTGTTCTGTCCAGGTTCTAAAGATGATAGCATATCATAAACATTATCCTATTATTTCTGTTGAAACAATGCATTTGTTAAGAGTGCAATTAAGTTAACAATGACCAAATATAACACATTAACTGTTATCCAAATTGTTAAAATTGAAGCGAAAATGAAAAGTTACATCAGTCTATTTCTTACAAGTTATCTGCATTCTCTTAAAACAACTTACAGTCGAGGCTAGTATTAACACATTTTAAGATGAAGTTTATTTGTTTTCTTTCTCTTTTAAATTTCATAATAAGTAGAAGTTCAGAATTGCAAATGACAAATAAAAATGGAAAGAAATTGTTTATTTTGACAATGGTCCCCTTGCCAGTTTTCACGTTTAATAGATTAAAGGTAAGTAGTGATTTGTTTAGTAATACATGTACTCAAGAAGACGATAAAATGCGCACGCAATTCAAATCATTACAAAAAGCTGTTTATGCTTGAAATCGTGTGACAGTGTGTTGAACATGTCTAAAATCCTTTACACTATATATAAATTGTAACACGGTACATAGGCTCATAAGGCAGATATAAGTTTAAAGTAGCAAGTAAGCAGAGATTTAAGATCGGATTTAGAAAGAATTAGTTATTTGCAGAAATTTGAAGTCAGTATCGAGACGAGAACGAGTCTAAAGACAGTTAGGTATTAAACAGTTATTCATAATCAACTATTTTCATAAAGTGTTCAATACTCATATATATTAATCATCACGTATACTTTAAATAGAAACAGGGAGTCTTTTTGAAATTTATCTTGGTGACAGAAGCTCATTTGCTAAAAATAGAAAGCAATTGTCTTTGATAAGATAATAAACATGAAAAGAAGCCAGAAGACAAATTTTGTATTAAGTCTTCATTTCACATTTTCTGAGTAAGGTTGTAATAATAATAAATTATGATTGAAGAAAGCAATGAAGAACGGGAGCTTAATAAGTCAAACTTATTAAAACAAGCAATTATCATAGTATTGCAAGCAATCCATAAGTCCCCTACCGGTTAAAACCCAAGCAACATTCTGATGGGCCATTGGCCATTCAATTTTACCAGTGAATGAATGACATGAATGAACATAAATCTTTTGAGTTCTAAGTTTGTCTATATCACAGTAATGTGTTAAGTTTCCCTGCCTAGTAAGGAAATAATGTTTATACAACCTTGTCATATTATTACAATGTGGAATTTTAAAGTAAATCCTATAAGGAATAAAGAAGTTGGAGTGAAAAATACCAATTTCTCGAAAAAAATCTAAGTTCAAGGGGGACATAATCCTGGAAATAGTCTTGCTAGAGTATTTAATCTCCTCAAAAATGTTGAGTGATAATAAGAAACATATATATGAAGTTTGAAGTAGATACATTAGGAAATAAAGAAGTTATTTAAAAAAGACAACATTTTTTTCATAAAAATTCTAAGTTCAAGGGAGGTAATACTGATAATTTTTGTGCTAGAGTTGTAAACCTTGTCACATATGATGTGGTTGATGACCAGAAACTTATATTTAAAGTTTGAAGTAAACACCTTAAGAAATAAAGAACTTATAGTGAAAAAGCTGAAAAATTTAAATCAGAAATCTTGAAATTCAGGCTATTTGTTGCCATAGCAACCAGAATTTTCAACATAGGAAGAAAAGAAAAAGATGTGCATAATCTCCAGACTGCCATCTACCCATATTTCAAGTTTCATAAAAATATTTTTAGTACTTTTTGAGTTATCACTGGATCCAGTTTATGTGTTAAATTTGCCATATTTTCAGACTATTTGTTGCCATAGCAACCAGAATTTTCAACATAGGAAGAAAAGAAAAAGACGTGCATAATCTCCATACTGCCATCTATCCATATATCAAGTTTCATAAAAATATTTTCAGTACTTTTTGCGTTATCGCGGGATCCAGTTTTGTGGACGGACGGACTGACGGACTGACAGACAGACAGACAGACGGACAGACGGACAGACAGACGGACGGAGGGTAAACCTAAAGTCCCCTCCGGTTAAACCGGTAGGGGACTAATAAAGGATGATACTCATCGTGTTAAACGTAAGATACAGTTACTGGACAATGCTTTTAACAAACCAGATATATACTCAGTGCCTGGGTGTTCAACACAATTCGTTGAACCGGATCAAAGGATCAGTCACCAAGCTTGAGGCACTGTAAGCGAAATAAACCAGAAGGATCACGATTAACTTGTGATGGGAATGATGAAGTTCGGAGACAATATGAGAATGAGAAACCTGTATTTAAAACATTCGGGTGCAGAAATGAAGGCATTCATACAGATGCCAGGCCTGAGAAACATGAAAGGCGACACTTTTAAAAGTCAGGGCATGCCATATAGAATCAAACATCTAGAGAAAATTTAGGACAATACCAGAACGAAGAATTTAGTGTCGGCATCATAAAAGGTTTCAGAACAGACTCAATCAAACCGAGCCTGCAACATTTTCAATTCTGTCGTTTGATGCGTTCTTTAGGGACTTTATTTTTTCTATTATATCGCCATATCAGTTATGGAATTTGTTTTGAATTCAAACTTTCACATTAGAAGGACTCTTTTTTTAGAAATGATGAAACTCTAAATAATCTATCATCATTATGAAAAACATCTTTCTCTTGATCATTGTTATTGATAAAATCCTAGCACTCAGGTAACAAATCACACGAGCAAAGTTATTGTTCTATACTCATTGTTTGAGATATGTATAAAAAAGTTACCCTACCCGACCCACTTTAAACAACTTATTTATCACTTTAAAAATCTTATTCAAAATATTCCTTAACTTACCACAATGAGGCGTTGAATTCACAGTTTGCCTATTTTTTTTACAAGTATATTAGTTGATGTTTGAAATTTGAATTACTTTTACCATGTAGTTTTTTATTCATATATTTGTTATTGAATTTAGCCTTATTTAGTTAGTAAATATTTACAATAATTATATGATTAAAATCCAACAGTTTTTTTCTTTCAAAAAGAGATCTGAGAAATACATAAATAATGTTGAAATAACGAAATAATAAAAAGTTGCCCCTTCTGGTGCTTGAACCTACGCCCTTCAGTTTCAATTTAGTTGACAGTAATTTTAGCCTATTTGAAAAGTCTTCAAAGCGGAGATAATGCATTAGGTGGATAGCAATTTGATAAAGTTTGATTTAAAATGTCTGATAATCAAACATCACTTCAAGGCTATCAACAAAAATACGTGACATTCGCAATTTGTGATCTCTACATCATAAACAAATAAGCTATTTATTTTCTTGTTATCTAAGCCATTGAAATAGGCAATAACACTTATCAAACATCAATAATATTGTATCACACACTTAACTATCAAGAAGAAATTCCGAAGAAGATATAATTATGGTGCCCTCTGTCCTAAAAACAAAGATTGGATAAGCCAATGTTTTATTTTGTATAACCCTGGTCATATTGTATAGTTTGATTGAGATAAAAAAACATAAATGTGACAGATAGAACGTCAATGGACAACAACCTGTTTGAAAAAGCTCTTTCCTGAGCAGATTTGGCTAAGATTGGGCAAACTATAAAAATACTAATGAATATTCTACGTTGTCCGTTACACACGAAAAAATCGTAGTAAGTAAAAAAAGAAAGACACTATGCCGTTTGATAGTTCCTCCGAAATTGAGAAACGAGTTTAACTTTGCCATGTCCTTCTGAAAATTGATTAAGTTAGCTTGTAAAATAGGGGAAAACAGAATTCGTTTAAGGACGCCCAAACCAAAACCAAAAATGAAAATGTTGCAGGCTCAATTTTATCGATCTTTTTCATGGACGCTGCTGGAAGAAAAAACAGTCCACGCCACCTAGCACCGGTTCGTGGAAAATTCGATAATTTAACATGCAAATGGTAAAATTTTAGAAAAATCTGAGGATGCATTCATACCGTAGGTATCAAGAAAGTTTCAATATGACACGTTCGTGCCATTCCATGAAAAGCAGCGTATAGTGCCCAAGTAAGAGTAAGCGTGTATCCTAAACGAGAAAATAACGGCTATGAGTAAATGAAATGTAATTTGAAAAGGGGTAATTATGAAGCCAGCATATCACAGACAAGAGTTCAAAAGACAAATTTAAAAAGCAGATAGCATATCCTATGGGCATTTTTTGCCCTTTTTTGCAAGTATTCAAGTAGGAATACTGGAATCATCAAACTAGAAAGGGTTCAAATAGATGGAAAAGAAAGTAAATACCGCAAACATGCACATACAATAATAATGTCGTGATGAACGATCTTCAAGGATAAATATATAACATCATTTAATGTACGGTGCGACGGATTAAGGCCTAACACGGCACAAATAAGACCAACCTGATAACACAGTAGGGGACAGCAGAATATCTAAAGAACACTCGAAAATAAAGTTGAAAATGTTGCAGGCTGGGTTTAACTGGGCGTATTCATTTGTCAACCTGCGTGTCTTATTCATATTATAAAATAGTTCTGCAATAACACACCATTATCTATTTAATGATTGTCTTAGTCGAAAGGAAAGTCATATAAAAAACATAAAAATTGAATGTAACTTACGCATTAACATTTCTTAATCCACTGAGCGTACTACCAACTTTTTACATGTAAACCCGTTGATAAACATTTATCTAAACGGATTTATTATGAAAACGTACAAGGTACACTTTTGTGATGTGATCATATAGGATGATTTTATGCCTTAGAGACGATAGGTTTTACTTTTTATCACAAAATATAGATAGGATGTACAATGCTAAAGCAACCAGATATGTTTGTAATGCATATATACCTTCTATCGGCAGCCAGTTAGTCATGTCGTCAGGTTAATGTGACTGCATTTTGACCTAGTGGCAAAAAAAATCAATAGGATTTATCTACTGGTCATGACTAGTCACTAGTTAATTGTGACCGTAAAGGTTTTGTGCAGCAATTTTATGGCAAAGTTATCACAATTCTTATCAAATTATATATGCATAAATTTTATAGATCATATACGTCTCCTTACTGTCAGCTAATTTGTTATTATATATTAAACTTGAAACGGATATACCAAAAGCATTTTTATAATTATAAAACCAAGGCAACTCAACGTTTTTTAAGTACAAAGTCAATGTGACTGAACATTGACCTTTAAATCGAAAGTATTATCTACTGGCCGAGACCAATGCACATCTGTAGTTTGAAAGTAAAAGGCACATGAGTTGTTGAGATATCGATCAGAAAGTGTTTTTGTCTTTAAGGTTAATTTTGACTTCTGACCCCAAAAATACATTGAATCCATCTTCTGACCAAAAGTAATGTATTTGTGAAGTTGAAGGTTAAGGGTCCATAATTTGTCAAGTTATGAATAGGAAACTGTTTTACCATAGAAGATCAATGTGACCTTAACTTTTGACCCCTGATCCCTTAACCAATAGGGGTAATCTACTGGCTAAGATAAATGCATCAAACGAGAGGAATTAGCAAATGAAAAACTTTTAGATCTTGAAGCAAGGTCAATGAGAGAAAACCTCATATTTTACGGTTTAGCAGAGCAGACGAGTGGAATGGAAAACTGCGAATCCTTAGTAAAAAATTTGATTACTGAAAAATTAGGCATCGACGCATCTTGTATGAGTTTTGATAGAGCACACAGATTAGGGGAAAATAATTCATTAATAAGAAAAATGTATAATGTCATGAAAGAAGATGTCAATAATAACATATCATATAACGGAAATAATTGGGCATATCAAAAAAATAAATAAATAAATAAAAATAAAAATACTTGACAAAATAGGTTTTTCTTTTCTATGGCTACAGCAAAACGAAATTAATATATCATTTCAAATAATAAAGAATAGAATATTAGATATATATAAACAAACTTGGTATTCAGAAATAAATAATTCAAGTAAATTACAAACATACAGTATGTATAAGTACGACCTCGAATTTGAAAAATACTTAAATTGTGTAAATATAAATAAATACAGAGTACAACTGACGCAATTTCGGCTATCGTCACATAATCTAGAAATTGAAATTGGTAGGCACAACGGAGTTCCAAGAGAAAATAGACTGTCAACAATGCAATATGCATGTCATTGAAAACGAATTCCACTTTTTACTCGTTTGTCCAAAATATTATAACCTTCGTAAGAAATTTTTAAAACCATATTTTTGCCGTTGGCCTACACTTCAAAAATGGAAACTTTAATGTCATCTAAAAATGAAAAAGAACTTGATAATTTGTCAAGATATTTATATTTTTCACTTAAAGTAAGAAATTCTGATTAACTTGTATATTGTTAGATCTAAATAAAGGCAAACCGTAAAATAACATATCTGAAAACATATTGTATGATTGTATTTGCATACATATATATATATATATATATATATATATATATATATATATATATATATATATATATATATATATATATATATATATATATATATATATATATATATAGACAACAATAACAATTTATTTCAATGTTAAGTATATATCTCATATTGTTAATTGCTAAATCTCATGAAGGAATATTGTTAATAACTTCTCTGAAAACATTTTGTACTGTTTTATGAACAATTTATTGTAAAATGTCTTACACTTTACCTATATTATGTAATAATGGCTATATGATATATGTAGTTTAATGCCAAATAAAATATTGAATTGGATTGAATAATTGTTGCCAACTTAAGTGCTCTCTTTAATCCAACTTTTAAAACAGGACCTGTTGATTACACACTATACATGATTACAGCAGGAGACGTAGATTTTTCCACATAATACACAAACATGGTAAGTACACACGACTGTGTGACAGGTGTAACATACATAATGATCTATTATTATGACTAGTGAATGGAGTTAATTAACTGGGTTAAAACAGTATGGTTTGTTTGGTAAGTGACAAGATAATCTAAATTTTCCAGTGTACCCCTAAAAAATTAACAAAAGAAACAAAAAAAAAAATAATCAAAGCTAAAAAAATTCTGCTGTAATTTAATTTCAAATATTTCTATTCTAACCAGATTAATATTATTTGCAGGATAAGTCCTTTTATTCAATAGTAATGAGAAATGGATTTGCTACACCCCTCCCTTCTTTGTGCATTTAGACTATCTGACAAGTCATGACCAGTAAATGAAATCTTCGGTAATCATCAAAGCAGGTGGTAATCATTGATTTCTATACTTTCAAAGGGCTAGATCAATCAAGTAATCATATTGTATGTATTTTTCTCAGATCACTTGTTTTATTACAGGTATAGTCACCTTTTTCCAGACATTGCCAATTTCAGTAAAAAGGAACAAGTTCAATTATTTTGTTTAAAGATGAAATAACTGTAAAATAAACAACAACAAAAGTGTTACATTGTATGTCTGTTATTATTTGAAATAATTAAAGAAAATATCAACAGAAAAACATTTGCCTGCATATTATAATTTGTCTAAATACAATGTACCGTATATCATGACAGACTATATACTGTGTATTGCTATACTCAGTATGCTCAAATTTTGTAACAAGTGCAATTTCAAAAAAAAAAAAAAAAAAAAAATCCCCTACCTACCCACCTCTTGAACTTAAGGTCGGAGCACTACAAACAAACACTTTTTTAAGGATGTCCTAGTATAAAGCGACTTGACGAGTAAAATATCACTTGCCACAATGTCCAAGCGTAAATAGTGTTTGACAAATGGTAAAATGTACTAAATTTTCTGTGCGTTTTCTAATTTTGACATCTGCTTACTCAACTGCCGGCATATAATATGATAATATCTGCTAATCGTGAAATTCCCTCATATCTAACACCCGACCGCGGATCGGCAAACCTGTGAGGAATACTAAATGATCAAGGAGTACTTCACGAATGCTAAATGCAAGATTTCAAAATGGCCCAAAACACTTCCCATTTCGACCCATTTTGACTAAGACCAAGCTTGTCTGTCGATTTTCGTGTTGACCGTGCATTTCATACTGTGCATGTTTTTCACGTAATTGCCGTTTCTGTTAAAATGAAATTTTTTCCTTGATATTCAATCAATAATTCAAGTTTGAAATGAATATTTGTAAATTGTAAATTGAAACCCGTTGAACATTTCAAATCAAGGCAATGTTAAACCAAAGTTAACCATTTTTATGGTGTTCTTATAACATATCTACATGTCTACGTCCCCGCGAGGGGTTTGACATTATCGGATGTATATTGATTTCAGTAAGAATTTACAGCAACCTGATTAATAAAATCAGCTCCTAACTATCGATACGCTACAAGTAAACATAAGATTTATACTTTTATCATGTTGAAATTAACAGTACAATTTAAATGCATTGCTTGCGGTTGTATTAGCAAACATATTAGCGAAACAAAGAAAACCACAGTTAAATGATATCATATTTGACATTCAAGTATAATCTTTCATAAGCATCAGCTTAATTTTTATGTCACTTTTTGGACCTCGGATCAGCGGGTTTGAGTGCTATATTTTCCTTGAATACTTAAGTTGTTCAGATGTGTGTTGAGGAACATCAGCCATTGATAATATAGAGAAAAAAGAACCACTAAAGAAAGTCCAAAACGGCAAAATTGAAAATGTTACAGGTTTCGTTTGAAAACGCCCAAATTAATACTGTCCCGGTAATGGCCACGGTATCGCTTTTGTGTCTTAAGCCGGTAAACCGGGTTGTTCCGTTGTGTTTTTTCTGAGAAATCAAATTGCGTTTACATACCTTCGACAGAGCCAAGGTGTTTTCCCGGTTTACAACCCGATATAGCACCGATATATACGGTAAGCGCCTATGCTAAATCGGTGTATTCCCGCTTGATTCCGGTGGAGACCCGACTGGACACGGTTTCATCAAGGACCATCCCGACCATCACCGATTTTGCCACGGTTACGCTTCTGGTGATGCCGGTACTGTGCCGGTGACGCCCCGGTAATGCGCCGATGCTTCCGGTTCAAGTTTATAAGAATAAAACTGCCTGACCACGTTGACATCAGTCATTAAGTAAAACACAGCAGATATGCCATCCGAAGGAATGGGATGAAAGCTAGAAAAAACTGTGCCTTTCAGAGGTTGAGGTACCTGAAGCTGAAAATGCACCAGCTGAAGATTTTTTCCTACTTTCATTTAAGAAATTGTCCATGCTCGTGTTCCTTTTCTAAACAAAATGATCAAAAGTAGCACTTCAAGTTTATATATTCCTGTTCTTTAAATTCCTGTTATCGGCACCGTTGTATAACCGTATTTGTCGGCAATATCCGGAACATTACCGGCTCCAACCGGAGCGTTGTTGCCTGTACCCTGGCTCTACCGTAGCTCTGCCAGTTTTACCGTGGCAACATCGTGTCATCACCGGGGCTTTGCCGTTTGGACATTGATTGACACGCATCCCGGTTTATTAAGATTTGTCACGGTATGGATGCGGTATAGATACGGTGGTTTCCCGGCAATTCCTGTTCCAAGCCGATCGAACACGGTTTTGGGGTTCCTCCCGGTAAGTGCCGGTGAGCCCCGGTTGTATTAAACATTTAAAAACAACCGTGGCGATCTCTCAGTTTGTTCCGGTTCACCATTGATTGTCCCTTTACTTCACGGAATTGCAATGGCCCAAAGCCGGTTTACTAGGGTTGATCCCGGTTGACTAAACCGTGG